TATATTTATACACATATGGATAAAGAGGTTATACAGTGACTGCAGGCCTCTCACGCAGCTCGATGACGCAAACACAACAGGTTGTTTACTAAATGTAGTTTGTCGATATTTGTGCTGATGTTTACAACCACAGCCGCGTCACTTCACATGACCGCCTGCATGTGCACGCGCACAGTCACGCCAGCAACTTCGTCATCTTAGCTTTAGCCCAACAACAGCTGGGCTAGCAGCGCTGCTAACACGGCATTATGAGATGTTATTGAAGCACCACAGCTGTCCAGGCATTAGCCACGTCTCAGGCTGTCCGAACTGACTCATATCAATATGAAACACATCCAAATACAGCCGGTTCCAGCTACTAGCCTGGCCCGACTCTGCCTGTTTGTTGGCTACTTACCGCAATTACGTTGACGAATGTGGTTTTCCCGGAGTACTGCAGTCCCACCAGCGTGAGCTCCATCTCCTCCTTCCAGAACAGCGACCTGAACCAGTCCAGGAGCCTGTTGATGAGCGCCAGCATGTTGGATGACACAGCAGAGGCTGCGAGGCTGAGGATGTGGGTCAGATGTGTTGTGAAGTGAGTGTCCACACAGGAAGTGTCATGTGACCTGCTGCTGCTGCTGCTGCTGCGGCGGCTGGCTTCTTCTCTGCACGGAGGTTTGGCACATGACACACTGCACCGGCGTATTGCTGCCCTCTACTGTTGTTAATGTGAATGATGGGCAAAGGATCACTATCCTGAGGGAAATTCGTGAAGCACTTTGCTCTAAGATTATAATAACAGTACAAGATACAGAGTACAAGAGCACAATCAAGTATTACAAATATGTGTGTGAAAATTAAAATATAAAGTGCAAATACAGAACCGTACCTAATAAAAATAAATGAAGTTTGGAGAGACTGTACATTTATACTTATAATAATAATAATCTTTATTTATAGAGCACTTTTCAAAACATATGAAACAAATGCTTTGCAAAGGCAGCAAAAAAGGGACAGGACATAAAAAATCAGGTGAAAGACATAAGGGAATAAATACCAGCGCCATGTAAAATGCTTGGTATAATAAATTAAAAGACAGTTATAAAGAAAGTTAAGACTCAGGTAAAATCAGGAGTGGGTCTTGGATAAAAGTATGTTTTAAGAAGAGACTTAAAATAGTTCCCTGAGTCAGCTGAACTGATCTCCACAGGCAGGGTGTTCCAGAGCCTCGGGGCTCGGAATGATCTGTTCTTAGTTTTTAGCCAGGCCTCTGGAACAGACAAGAGGCCTCTAGCCGAGGATCTCAACGTGCGTACTGGTGCATATGAAGGCCAGCGATGGAACAGGGAGCGAGGCCATGAAGGGCCTTAAAAGTGATCAGTAAAATCTTAAAATGAATTCTAAAACATACAGGGAGCCAGTGTAAAGACGCTGAAACAGGAGTGATGTGATCATTAGTTGTGTTTCTTAGTTCTGGTTAAAAGCCTGGCAGCTGAGTTCTACACAGCCTGAAGTCGATGAATAGATTTTTGGCTCAGGCAGGTAAAAAGGCTGTTAGAATAATGGTAATGTGATGAGATAAAAGCATGTAATATGGTCTCTCTGTGTTTAGAACTTAGCATGGATCGTATTTTAGAAATATTTCTCAGGTGATAAAAACAGGATCACACGTTTAGTGGTGTGCTGCTCAAAACTGAGCTTTTCGTCAAACCAGACTCCCAGATTCTTTGCCACAGGCTTTATGTTGTCATGTAGGGAACCAGCAGGTGGCAGTATTTGTTTTGCCATGTGCTGGGAGGCAATGACAAGAATCTCTGTTTACCTTGAGTTCAGCTAAAGCAAATTCTGAGACATCCGGTTTTTTATGTCATGGAGCCAGAGAGTGAGTGAACTCAGCGTGCCCGGGTCTTTTTGTCTTACAGGCAAAAAAAGTAATATAAGTCGTAATGACTATTAAGAGATTTTAAAGTAGAGTAAATATTGCACATAATGCCTTTTTCATTTCAAAATAATGAATTTTGAGGCTGAATTTCTCCAAAATGATACAGTTAATATGCTTGATACTGAGTGAGTGAACAGTCAGGATGGTCCTGAGGACAACTGTACAAACCTTTGTCAGAAATTATGGATCAAAGGGATTTTACACTAGCATAAAAGATCCCTATCATGGACTACCTGCATTTGCCATACATTCTGTAATACGGGCGCACTTGAAATCAGGAAAAGACGAACGTCTGCTCACTTGACCGCAGTGTTTTAGAGCAGCCGAATTAAGTGTCTCTTGCTCAGAATGACTCCATGTCTAACCGCAAGTGATTTCAGGATATTGTAACGTAAAGTAATGAGGAGACAGGGCGAGATGTCTTCAGGACATTTATGTTCGTTCTTTTTACCACAAACGAACTTTGTGAACTCCCGCACAGAGAGACTTATCTCAACGGCCCTGAGGCACTCCGTTCCACACACACACACACACACACACACACACACAC